AAAGACCTGGATTGATCCTGATTTGAACTAGTATGCTGGGCTGGGTGGCTACAACAGGAGACAGCTGAGCTGTGAGAATAAACAAAAGGAACTTCTGGAGTTTGCTCTTGCTTCTTCCCTGTTTTTGCCTTGGAACAGTGTCTGTGCCCACAGCTGCAGTAACCCAACTTCTGGTCCAGGCTTCCTGAGGAATGGAATCAAGGCAAGGCAGTAGCCTGTGCTTATGAGTAGCTGAGAAACAGGCAAAGACCACATTACCTCAGGCAAGTGCTTCTCCACCCTGCCTCCTCAAAGCTTGGGGATGGCGAATCACATTCCAAGGAGTTATCTCATGAGGTGAGGAGTCATTGACTAGCTTTCTGATATTTCGACTTCCCCACCCAGGATCCATTCTCCCCACGCCTGAACTATTTATAGGGACCAGAATCTGATCCCATCACATGTATGCATAACAACTGATGGAATAACCTATGACCCCAAAGGAAATACACTTACTGGCCAAAGTAATAAGCAATTTTCTGAGCATAACAATTTCAAGAGAAAACACACTGCATTACAGATTCCATCAGAAGCAGATATATTAAAACAGATGGGCCAATATTTTAAATTAGTCTATTAAATACATTTAAAGAGATAAGGCATGGTATTAGCAACAGAAAATGAAAATATTAACACATAAAAAAGAACCAAATATAAATATTAGGCAGGTAAAACAATTGTTGAAGACACAGTAGAGGAAATAAATAGCAAAATGGACAACTGATAAAGAAATTAGCAAACTGGAAGAGCAAATTGAGGAAATGTCCAGAAAAAAGGAAGGAAAAGGAATTAGAGAACATAAAAGAAAGGTTAAGAAATTTGGACAACAGACATAAGCATGCTAACATTTGAATAACAGGAGTCCTAAAAGAGAAACATTTTAAATCAAAAGGATGATATATTAAAAAATACATAAATTTCCATAAAGTGTTTAACACATATCCCAGAATATGTCACTCAAAATTCTTTTAGTATACTATTACATACTATAAAATTTTATAATATTTGTATATTGGTCTATGCTAATAATAACTACATGGTTATTATCATAACTACATAATAACTACATAGTTACAATCATGGTTTACCTTGTTTTTACTACAGAAATAACACCATTTATACTGCAAGGTTACTCAAGATAAAATCAGAAACATAGGAATTTGACTTTGGAAAGAACTAAAACATTTGTCAAATTTGACTATCTGTGGGATGATTTACTGCCTCCTAGTTCTTTCTTCTTCTTTTAGTCAAAATGAGAAGGGAGGCAGTTACTCCCTGGTAAACAAAGAAAATTAAAAAGAGAAAAATAAATGTTCAAAGCTTAGAAAGGAAACACAGAGGCATAGAATCAGAAGATGGATTTGTCTGGAATACTTGATTGCTTCCCAAAGAAGTGGGCTAGAACTGGAGAGCAGAGCACCTTGGTGGATTAGCGACATGAGTGGGTATAAATGACTGTGCCTGTATATAACCGTCAAGGATGTATAAAAGACGTAAAAAAAGAATAGGGGGAGTTCAGAAAAACAAAGCCCGCTAGGTGCTCTGGGGTATGAGTCTTTTTTTATAAGATTTTTTAAAAAGATTTTTTATTTGAGAGAGAGAATAGGAGCAGGGTGAGAGGCAGAGGGAGAAGCAGACTCTCAGTTGAGCAGGGAGTCCGATGCGGAGCTCCATCCAAGAACTCCGGGATCATGACCTGAGCTGAAGGCAGTTGCTTAACCAACACAGCCACCCAGGCGCCCCATAAGATTCTTTTTAAATTTGATTTATTTGAGAGAGAGAGCACAAGTGGGGAGAGGGAGAAGCAGACTGCCTGCTGAGTGGGGAGCCCGACATGGGGCTCAATCCCAGGACCCTGAGATCATGACCTGAACCAAACACAGATGCTTAACCAAATGAGCCACCCAGGTGCCCCAGAAGGGTCTTAATCAGGGAGGTTTAAAAGAAATCCAGGCAGAAAGAGCCTGGATACTGTAGACTGGCCTAGCTCATTCCTTGTTGTTTTCTCTATTTACTAATCCTTGTGCAAGCCTCACTATCATCATTCTGCTTCTTTCATTTCTGTTACCATTTGTCACTGAAACAAAAGTAAGGCTTTATTCATTGGTCTCAGATTTAAGCATTCACAGGCTTTTAAAAACTGACCTCTCATCTCTTGTGATGCTCTTCGAAATCCCTATTTTCTTCTCCCTATGTTTATATCCTCGTGCAAAAATGTTTTGTTGTTCTTGTTATTTTTAAAAAAAAAGGATATCATAAAAAAGACATAAATTTCCCAGAATGTTAAACATTAAAGACATCAGATTAAAAGTCCCATAGACAGGGGCACCTGGGTGGCTCAGTTGTTAAGCGTCTGCCTTCGGCTCAGGTCATGATCCAGGGTCCTGGGATCAAGCCCCGCATCGGGCTTCCTGCTCGGCGGGAAGCCTGCTTCTCCCTCTCCCACTCCCCCTGCTTGTGTTCCCTCTCTCGCTGTGTCTCTGTCAAATAAATAAAATATTTAAAAAAAAATAAAAGTCCCACAGACAGTGTCTTATTAACTTAAACATAACACAAAACTCTACTCCACTCCTAGGTTTTTACCCAAGATAAATGAAAACTTGAATATACAAAAGCCTTGTAGAAGAATGTCTATAGCAGCTATATTTACAACAACCAAGAACTGGAAACAACTTAATGTTTATCAACAGGTGAATAGAATAAGTAATGGTAGCACACCCACATAATGGAATGCTACTCGGCAAAAAAGAGTAAACTACTGATAACATGCTACAACATGATTGAGGCTCCAAAAAACCCTATTATGTTGAGCAAAAAAAAATCCAGACACAAAGGCAAGTGTATGAATAGAATACTGTGTAATTCCATTTGTACAAAAGTCTAAAAGTTTAACATGTAGTGACAGAGTAGATAGGTGGTTGCCCAGGGCTTGGGGGAGTGAGGTGGGTGGAGATGAACTGTAGAGACATGAAGAAACTTTCTGGAAAAGTGAAAATACTCTGTTTTGATTGTAGTAGTGGTTACAAGGGTGTACACATTTTCAACATTTATCAAACTGTAGCCCTAAAAGTAAAGTCCTCAGCATACCAGTGGTGTTTGAAGCCTCAAGACTGGATAAGACCATCAGAGGTGTAAACAGGTAGAAAACAGCACATCCTCACAATATGAAGGGAAGTGGGAAGGAAACAGTCAAGGGGGTCTGAAATGAAGGCCAGACTCAGGAGGGAAGTCCAGAAAGCCAGCTGAAAAATATGTTTTAAGGAGGAAATGATCCATTATCTATAATGCTATTTCAAGGAATGAAAAAACAGAATTGACCACTAGGTTTAACAATGTGGAAGACATCTGGCAGTGAGGCAGCTTTGGAGAGGGTTCAAGAAAGAATGGAAGTAGGGATAAGTGAAGACAACTATTCGGGCGCCTGGGTGGCTCAGTCCATAAGCGTCTGCCTCCGGCTCAAGTCATGCTCCCTGCTCAGTAGGGAGCCTGCTTCTCCCTCTCCCACTCCCCCTGCTTGTGTTCCCTCTCTTGCTGTCTCTCTTTGTCAAATAAATGAATAAAATCTTAAAAAAAAAGACAACTCTTGAAAAATTTGCTTCCTACAACAAAGCAGAGATTATGCAGGAGCTAGAAGGGAATGTGGTATTGAAAGGTTTTTGTTTTTGTTTTTGTTTTTTGAAGCAAGTTTGCATGTTGGTGGGAATAATCCAGTACACAGGGAAAACCTGATGATACATGAGATAGGGAAACTTTGCTGGAGCAATGACCTTGAGTAGTATGGAGGAGACTGGCTCTGGAGCCAACCGAGTCAGTTCATACATAGGTACCTGTGGGAAAGCATGGACACTGTGGAAGGAAGGTAGATGTTACGGCAGGCTTCTGCTGATTGCTTCTGTTCTCCCAGGGAAATAGGAAGCAAAGTCGTCTGCCGGCAGTGAGCACGAGGGAAGGTTAAGTCAAGGGTAGGTCAAGGGATTGTTGGAAGCTTGATACTAAATAGTCAACCAGCTTAGGAAACAGAATGTGGAGGTGTCCCAGTCACTAGTAATGGAATAGTCCTAGTGGTTGACAAAACCATGAGCAGAGGGGACAAAGAACTGAGGTCAGCGCATGGGAAGATCATCTAGATGGATGATGGGACCAAGAAGTATTATGATGGAGGCGGTTCTAGATGCAGTAAGGCAGGTGCTGAAATCGTTGATATGTGGGTGAGTGGCGCATTAGATGACTGCAACGAAGGGAAGCTGGAGTGATGGTCTCATGTCCCAAGAATCAGAGGTAGTTTTAGAGAGAAGGGAGGAACAATCTAGAAGCAGCAAATAAGAAAAGTGGGAGGGAAAGGAACCACCCCTGGAGCCATCGTAAGAGAAACTGTGTGTAGGGGAGACCCAAGCTTCAATCACAGCAGGAAGGTGAAAAGGGAGAGCTCATGGCCAAATAAGAGTTCCAGCTGGGCCCAACAGAAGGTTCCAGAGTTGGTGAGGAGTTGAAGATAGGGTCAAAAGGGCAATGAACTGAGCCATACACGGGTTAGAATAAGGGAAGTGAGGGGGCCCGGGAGTCCTGAACATCCAAGGCACACTGGGCACATAAGGGCTGTGTGACAGGTAGTAGGAATGTGGGGATCCTTCCGGGAGGAAGCAGAAGTCTGGGACTTTCTCTTGACTTGTGATGTCAGCTGGGCCACAAGAGGCACTTTTAGAAATTTTTTTTAAAGGATATTGAGCTGGGTAATATAGAATAATTTGTCAGTATGCTTATATAATATTGTATATGAATTATGAGATCCTTTGGGGTCCCTAAATCAGAGAAATTGAATTTGCTCAGTGTATTACATCGGGTATTAGAATACTATACCCATATAGTGACACTATGACTTGATACATACTGCTTTCTCTTACAGAGATGTTGCTAATTCTATTCTCTCTAAAGGTCTTTGCACAAATCACATGAGAAATCCATTCAGTAATTTACTCCTGCAACATTTATTGGGTGACCACTATGCATTAAGCCCTGAAAGGTAGGGAATCAGATGTCACATACCTACGTGAGTTCCAGCTACAGGATATGGTGAACACAGCCGCCCCACACCAGTCGGCCGCTTTCTCAGACAATGGGAAGTCATGGGCCCTGCAAGAACTAGATGAACCTTTTGTATCCTAGATTTCTAACCCATACCCTTGAAACCTATCCAAGAATTGTCGGCCTCTAATTATAGCCCTACTTTAGGGAAATACAGGAAATATTTGTGAACTGGAGAGAAGTCACCTAAATCCTCTCATCCATCTTCGCTCCTTTCCACTAGGAAAAGAGAGACTTCTTCACTCTGATGAAGTGGTGAGCTCCCTTCCCTTTGAAGCCCCCCTACTATCAAGCAATCTTCTCAGCTAGAGAAGAAAACATAAACACTGAATTTGAGGGAGACCTTGAGAAATATTGCTCCCATGTGCAGTGGTGTCTCTTGCTGTCTGTCCCATGAGGGCCATTCTAAACCCATCAAGGGGCCTTCCTCAGCATTGCCCAAACCTCCGGTGAGTCTTCCAGCCATTTGTTGTGCTGTAATCCTCAAGGTTATGGGTAGTGAAATCCTAGGGAACCCAGGTCCCAGAAAATGCAGTGATTCTGAATGTCCAATCCAGATTTCATATTCCAAAGGGAATTTAGCTCTCATGTTACCAGAAATCATTCAGGACAGAGAGCCAGGTAACTTTATTTCTCATTGTTTTGGGCTTTCTGGATTTTTATTATTAAATATCTACTATAGAAAACTGAACAAAAGAAAAAAATTAGGGAAAAAAAATCACTGGAGAGGCAGCATAACATAGTAGTTAAAAACATGACTCTGGAGCCAAACAATCTCAGTTCCATTTCTTAATAGCTGTGTGTCCTTAGGTAGGTTTCTCAACATCTCTGCCCCAGTTTCTCCATTTACAAAACTGGAATAATAAAGACACCTATCTCATAGAATTAAGGAGACTGAACAATATTTGAAAAGCATTTAAAACAAAGTCTAGCACATGATAAGTGCTGTATGTTTGTAAAATTTTTAAAAAATCTTAAATTAACCAGGTTAATTTCTCCATGGGTCCTTCCAGTCTTTATCTGTATACATTTTTTAGATGTTATAATAGATATGTATGTACAATTTTGTGTCCTTTTTATTCCGTAACATTTTGTATATTGATGCGGTGTCCACAATTATAACTTACAGTGATTGCCTAAAACAAATTACAAATGAATTGTCCAACGATGCAATCATGAGTAACCATGGACACTGACACACTGGGTCATAAACTGTCACCTCTTGATCAGTCTCATACTTCTAGGTAACAATCTTTCCACCATTAGTAATCTCATTTACTAATCTTTTCTAAGGTTAATCTTGACCAACAGTAAATATCCCATTCAATACTATTTTTTTCTTAAATTCAGATTTAGTATTTCATATTCTGTTCCTTAAAGGGCACCCACATCCTCCCTTTATAACAGCAAAATCTGCATTTCCACAATTATGAACAAGATGTTACTATAAAGCTTCCCATCTAGCATTCCAGCCTGATGCAAAAGTGTATTTTCAGTTGAAAAACTTCCCAGAATAAGGTTTTCCCCTTAACAATGCACTTTGATCCACAAATAGTTGAGATCTCCCTAGAAAAGAAGTCTCATTCCCTCCATTCATGTTCCTTAAGTAGGATTCCTGGTGGACCATTAGAGGACTTTGGAGTTTTCATCACTGTAATTATCTGATGTTAAATAAAGGCTACATAACTGCTGAAAGCTTTTTCCAGTCTTTTCATTCATAGGTTTCTTCTAAGAAGATATTTTCTATTGAATAATAAGTCTTCCTGAATTCTTACTAAAGAATTTCCCCTCTTGATTTATACTTTTTTTTCTTTTTCAATGTGTTGCCAAATGTACAATAAAAGAAAAATCTATCAATTCAATTCACAGTTTCTCTTCACTATGATTTCTCTGATGTTGAAGTAGGGCTGAGTGACCACTAAAGGCTTTTCCACAGTCATTGCATATAAAGCGTTTCTCTCCACTGTGCATTCTCTGATGAATAATAAGAGAAGAATTCTTACAGAAAGCTTTCTCACAATGATTACATTTGTAGGGTTTTTCTCCAGTATGGTTTCTTAGATGTACAATGAGGGAAGAACTCTCATTAAATGCTTTCCCACATTCATTACATCTATATGGTTTCTCTCCAGTATGAGTTCTCCGGTGTGCAATAAGGTGAGAGCTACAGTTAAAGGATCTTTCACATTGATTACATTTATAAGGTTTTTCACCAGTGTGAATTCTCCGATGAGCAACAAGGTGACAGCTCTGGCTGAAGGATTTTCCACATTTATTACACTCATAGGGCTTTTCTCCAGTATGAGTCCTTTGATGTCTAACAAGGTGAGCCATCTGACTGCAGGATTTTCCACATTTATTACATTCATAAGGCTTGATTCCAGAATGAATTATTTCATGTTTAGTGAGGGCTGAGCGTTCTCTGAATGCTTTGCCACATTCCTGACAGTTATACGGTTTCTCTCCTGTGTGAGTTCTCTGATGGGCAATGAGATGTGAGCTCCAGCTGAAGGATTTTCCACATTCTGTACATTTATATGGTTTTGCTCCAGAGTGAGTTCTTTCATGTTTACTAAGCGCTGAGTAATCCCTGAAAGCTTTTTCACATTCATCACATTTAAAGGGCTTCTCTCCAGTATGCATTCTCATATGCGCAATAAGATGGGAGCTCCAGCTGAAAGATTTCCCACATTCAGTACATTCAAAAGGTTTCTCTCCAGTATGAGTTCTCTGATGTCCAATAAGATGTGAGTTCCAGTTGAAAGATTTCCCACATTCGTTACATACATAAGGTTTCTCTCCTGTATGAATTCTTTTATGTACAATTAGATGAGAATTCCAGCTGAAGGCTTTTCCACATTTATTACATTCGTAGGGCTTTATTCCAGTGTGAGTCCGTTCATGTTTAGTAAGGGCTGAACGATTCCTAAACACTTTTCCACATTTATCACATTCATAGGGTTTCTCTCCAGTATGAGTTTTCTTATGCTGGATAAGGTAAGAACTCCAAATGAAAGATGTCCCACATTCATTATATTCATAGGGTTTCTCTGAGGTGTAAGTGCTTGTATGTTGAGTAAGGAATGAGTCATACCCGAAGACTTTCTCCCATTCATTGTATTTACACGCTTTCTCTACAGTACCAATTTTTTGATGCTCCATAAATGATGAGAAATAAAAGATATTCTCATATTCTTTGTAATCATACTGGTTTTCTCCAATATGAAGTCGTGGATGTTCATTAAATGATGGGTTCTGGTTAAAGATTTGATGGCATTCCTTATATTCATAGAGTTTTTCTCCTGTATGCATTCCCTTATGATCACCAAAATGTAGTATATGATTGAAAGATTTAACAGCATCAGTACATTTGAGAAGATTCTCTCCAGTTTGCACCCTTTCATGCTGAATAGGTTGTACAGACTGGTGCAAGGCTTTGTCATAATCATGATTTCCACAGGTAATCTTATCTGCATACATTATGGCTGAGTTACACCGCCAGCTTTCAGCATTTGTATCAGGCTTATAGAAATGTTCTATTTGAGAAACTCTCTGAGACGGAACTAAGTTTAAGTTCTGGCTATACTCCGCTCCAAGTTCACAGAATTCAGAACCTCTTTGAGACAGCACTTGCTTTTGCATGAAGACCATTTGCCTCATAGCTGTACTCTGGTTCATGTGATACATTTCTAATTGGTCTTTACATCCCAAGACTTCTAACCTGGAGAACCAAGGATCATCCCATATGTATCTTTCCAACTTCATGCTATGGGATTGTTCTTCCTCAAAAATGCTTTGTGTTGGGATCAATGCTTTGCTTTCAAGATTTCTCATCCACTCTGAAATAATCGGAAAAAAAGCCATGAGAGCACAGAGAAAAAAACTTCTAAGAACAGAGTGGGAAAAGTGAGATTTACTGTCCATATTATTGAAAAGGCAAATGTGGACTTATTTTTAAATAAAACTGTAACACAGAGAAAGATTGTAGTAGGGAAAAGGAGAATAGTGAAAAGTGAACAAAAAAAAGAATGTTAACCAGAATAAGTGTGTAATGGATACCAGCAAAAACCATTTAGGGGTATTTTCCCATGGAAAGGAAGACCAGAATAAGGGTGTGTGGTAAAGAGTTAACTGCATGGGGCGCCTGGGCGACTAGGCTGGTTAAGCGTCTGCCTTCAGCTCAGGTCATGATCTCAGGGTCCTGGGATCGAGTCCCACGTCAGGCTCCCTGGTCAGTGGGGAGCCTGCTTCTCCCTCTCATCCCCGCTCCTGCTCTCTCTCGTTATCTCTCTCTCTCTCTCTCTCAAATAAATAAAATCTTAAAAAAAAAAAAAAGTTAACTGCATGCCTGAGTTGTTCAAACTTTGCACATTCCCACAAAGGCCTGTTTCATGACTAGACTTTGGCCAACTACCAGGAATTGAGGTCTTAGAATGGTACAAGAGTGTTTTGCATGCTTGAGGTCTTGAAGCACACTGTCTCGATATCTGTAAATAGTTCGTACAAATATCATTTATGGTGAACACCTGCTTTCCTTCTGGGGATCTGGAGCTTCAGTGATTGCAGTCAGTTATGCAGGCACTGTGCACCCAAATGTCCAATCCCCAATAAACACGTTGGACTCCCAGGCTCAGGCAAGCTTCCCTAGTAGATGACACTTCATACGTGTTGTCACAACTCACTGCTGAAGGAATTAAACGTGTCTTTTGCAACTCCACTGGAAAATGACTACTGAAAAGCTTGCACTTGGGTTTCCTCCGGACTTGCTTCATGTGCCTTTTCCCTTTGCTGACGTTGCTTTGTATCCTTTCACTGTCATAAACCATTACTCTGAATATAATGACTTTTGAGTCCTCTGAGTCCTTCTAGTGAATCACTGAACCTAAGGGTGGTCTGGGAGATCCCTGACAAAGGACACAGTGAATACTATTAAGGTAAAAAAGTAAGAAATAACTTGCTTACAAAAGTAAATAAGTAACCAGGCCTTTAACTAATGTTCTAATGATTAAAGTGTTCTAAATCATTTCTGTGTTACAATATCCTGACTCCTCCCCTATTCTGACACCTGCCCCGCCAAAAGGAGGGGGTGGGGTTAAGAGAAAGTATCACCAACAAAAGTTTTAAGCAAGGATGTTATCTATGATAATAAACTATCACATCATTTCCTATTTGTTCAGTCAGTGACAAAATTCAAGAGCTCAAAAATCACCACACTTTAAGGATACTTGTACAGTTACAATTCTTCTAATAACTACGGAATCATTTGTAGGGTAATGACACAGAGACAGACTTGAAAGGCAACATATTATGATGAAGACAAGGGAGGGATAGACTGATATAATCTGTATTTAAAGGCTGACTCTGCACTATCCTTACAGGATGTTTCCAATCATTCCATAAGATCGTGAATCCAGGGGCGCCTGGGTGGCTCAGTTGGTTAAGCGACTGCCTTCAGCTCAGGTCATGATCCTGGAGTCCCTGGATCGAGTCCCGCATCGGGCTCCCTGCTCGACAGGGAGTCTGCTTCTCCCTTGACCCTCCCCCCCTCATGTGCTCTCTCTCTCTCATTCTCTCTCTCTCTAATAAATAAAGTCTTTAAAAAAAAAAAAAAGATCGTGAATCCAGTGAAATGTTTGGCAAATTCAATATAAGGAAGCCACCCATCATCATTGCTGAGGTGTCAGTCCTCCAACAACTGAAGGGTCTGTATTAGTTTCCTATTTCTGAAGTAACAAATTACCGCACGTGTTGCAGCCTCAGATAACAAACCTTATTACTTTACAGCTTTGGAAGTCAGAAGTCCAAAACGGCTTTTCCTAGGCTAAAATCAGGGTAGCCTCCCTCTAGAAGCTCTAGGGGAGAATCCACATCCTTGCCTTTTCCTGCTTTTAGAAGCTGCCTGCATTCTTTGGCTTACAGCTCCTTCTTCCATCTTCAAAGCCTATCGTTCCATCCCGTCTCCATCATCACATCTCCTTTCTCTGTCTCTGACACTACTGCCTCACTCTTATAAGGACGTTATGACTGCCCACTCAGATAATACGAGATAATCTCTCCAGCTCCAAATGTAGTCACATCTGAGAAGCCCCTTTGCCATATGAAGTACCATATTCATCAGTTTAAGACGTAGACATCTTTGGGGGGTAGGGGTGGGGGCTGTCATTGCTCACCCTACCCCAGGGTGTAAAGCCACAGACACCTGACCGGACCTAGACCCTTGTCCTCTTCCTCTCGGTTTTCTTCTCTATTCCCTCTACACCATTTCCTTGCTTTTACTATCCAAGTCCATTAAAAAAGGGGCTCTACTCCGCTCAACAACTGGCATTTATTACCAATTTCAAGCTTAGCTCCTAGAAGTTAGGGAATGATGACCATAAAGCTTGGAATCCTTCCAAAAGAAACTTTAGGAAATAGAGCTGACCAAATGAATCATTCTTGCCCAACTTTATATTCGATACTTGTGGCCTGAGTATCCAGCACCAGACACAAGACAACAAAGTACAGGCTAACCAGGAGGTTAGAATCTATGTGATGAGAGGACATACTAAACAGTTATGGACAATACACACAGTGTATCACTGAGAGACTGCAGAGATGTAGATGCTGGGTGGGTGGGAGGCTGGAAAAGGAGATCAGCACTGACAGAAACAACCCAGGAAGGTTTCACACAGAGAAATGACATAAGCTCGGCCTTCAAGCCTTGCTTGAGTACAGATAGACTGCTCTTATACGGCATGACCTAGTCAGAAAATGAGAAAAATAACAGAAAAAATTGGAAGGTCTTGAAATCTAGTCAGAGTTATTTAACAGGCTACTCTAACCACTATAGGTTTACTGACAGAGACCTCATAATGGACGACTTCAGGAAGATAAATCTAGATATAACACTTGAGGTAACTAATAATAAGAATTTACGCATTAACTTGAGCTAGAATTTTGTAAGGAAACTGAGAATGATGTTGGTGGAAGCTGAATGACACAGCTGACATTTCAGAGGCCGAAAATCTCAGGAGGTAGAAGACAGATTGCTTCTTGGAGAGGAAAGAGTGGGAGGTCAGGATGACTTCTCAATTTCCAGCTTAGGGGACTCACAGAAGGCTGGTGCCAGGGATGTGCACCAAGAAGAGGGGGAACATCATCTAGAAGGAAGCAATGAGATTCCTGATTTATCGAGATCAAGGAGATATCTGAGGTGGTTTACAAGATGGCAGACACGGGAGGATGGAGCTGGTGGAACCACCTGGCCCAGGGTGGTAACTCAGGATGGTCAGCACCAAGTAGCAGAGTGAAAGCTACTGGAATTCATGAGCCCTTAATGGAAGCTTTCAGATCTGAACGGGGGCAACTGATGAGACTCCAAAAAACAGCAGTTCATTAGAATGGATGAGAAGACCTCCACCTTCAGGACTTAAGAGCAGGCTATGGCACACTGTTAAATTGAAAACAGCAAGATACAGAACAGTGTATATCATAATCTACTTTTAGATGAAAATAATCATATCCCTATATGTTTGTAGTTGTATAAAGAAACTGGAAAAATACAACAGAAATTATTAAAACTGATTATCTGCGGCAAGATGTCAGTAAAAAGGGCAAAAAAGGGGCAAAATAAGGGAAATTTCACCATTCCCTAAGAGCAACCATAACACTGGCAAAAACTGTCAGAATCAATTTCTTCAGAATTTTATAAATTAATCAGTCTTGAAGCAGCCAAGGGAAGAGTTTATTCAAGTAAAACAGCTGAATTTTTATAACAGTGAGCTTTGTGGCACTGTAAATTAACAGTCCCATCTCTGGCTCCCCAGCTCAGCAGCAGCCTTGGAAAATTACAGCCCTTATTTCTGGTCCTAGAGGTACTACAGCTGGAGGTTTCCCAAAGCCTCATTCCCAAAGAACAGTCATTATTTGACCTATTTGGTGGTTCCCTGGAAGACCTCCCTTGAAAGGTTGTAAAGGGCTAGAAGCCTCTACGGAGCAGGTATTTGTTAAACATTTACAGGCAATGTATTAAAAAAGTCGTACTGCCTGAGATGATGGAAAATAGCTGAGGAAACAAGACACAAAACCAAAAAGATTTTTAAAAAGCTGAGGGATGAGATGGCCACAGGGCTTTGAAAAGTTAGAGTATATTCCTGGGAATCTAGAACACCCATCATAATTAAACTATTACAAGCCAAAGAGAGGATCCTGAAAGCAGCAAGAGAGAAGAAATTCATCACATACAAGGGATCCTCATATGATTAACAGTTTATTCCTCTTCAGAAACCATGGGGGCTAGAAAGAAAAATACTGTCAACCAAGAATTCTGTACCTGACAAAACCTTCCTTCCAAATTGAAGAGGAAAGGAAAGCACTCCCAGATAAGCATCACCTGAGAGTCTGCTAGTAAATCTGCCCTAAAAGAAATGAAGTCCTTTACGTTGCAATGTAAGGACGCTAGACAGTAAGTCAAAATATAGGGCACCAATAAAGATAACTACATAGGTAAATATAACAAGATGTTACAAATGCATTTTTTGTTTGTAACTTTTTTCCCTATCTTATTTAAAAGACAAAAACAAAGCAATAATTGTAAGTCTATGTTGATGGACATATGATATATACATGTAATTTGTGACAATAACAGCATAAATGGGGGAGAACAGAAATATACAGAAGGAAAATTTTTGTACACTATAAAATTAGTGGTATTAATCCAAACTAGAGAGTCACAAAATCAGATGTTAATTATAATCCCCAAACTAGAGAGTCATAAAATCAAATGTTAATTATAATCCCCAGGGCACCCTGGAGCTAAGAAAATAGCTCAAAATTTTATAGTAAAAAAGTGGTTACCTTTGTGTGTGCCCTGTGTGTGGAGGGGTATGGGAAGAATAATGTAAACAACAGCAGCAAAAGTAAATGAGATTTTTCAGCTTACTCCTTTTATGTAGCTCTGGGTTTTTTGAGCCATGTAAATACATTACCTATATAAAAACCTTTAAAAAAGAAAAGAAGAAGAAGAAGAAGAGGGGTCTGTGGCCCCTCGCTACAAGTCTGGCAATAAAGGAAATAAGAACAAATTAAAAGCGGGTAAGTGAGCGAGAAATCATCGAGAGAGGGGCAGCAGAGAATATGAGAGGTGGTATCAGGAGAGTGGATGGCAAGGAAGGGAAACTGCAGCTCACAAAAACTGTTACCTTGTTAACAAGGTGGCCATCTTTGCTCTGTATCAACAGCTGCAAAAAAGTCAATACATGGGATAAAGCTCCTTGGAGGGAATTGTGAATGTCTGAGGAAGGTAACTCCTCACGGCCTCAGCCCAGTTCTCAAACAAAGAGGGCTTAGAGGAAAGTTCCTTGCTCCCACCTGGGGCCTGCCCTCACCTGGACAAGTGCTTTGAGGATATGCTTGTTCCACTGACCATGGCTCCTCTCCTTGCTCCAACAGAGAGATGACCTCCGGCTTGGCAATCTGATTCCCTGTGTGTGGAGGAAAAACACAGCTTTGTAAACTGCCTTTGCCTATTCTTCCCTGAGTTCTCACTCAGGCAGAATAAGCACAGTCTCTCCCACTTCATGCTTTATAAGCATTAGGAATTAGTCCTTGAACATCAGGGCTCAAGATCATCTCAATCCTTCTGAGATGCCCATGAGGTCTTTTTTTGATTTACCAAAGAGTGTTATTGGTTGTTGTTGGTGGTGTTAAGGATTGATAACTTTTTTTTTTAAAGAGTTTATTTATTTGACAGAGAGAGACACAGCGAGAGAGGGAACACAGGCAGGGGGAGTGGGAGAGGGAGAAGCAGTGACCTGAGCTGAAGGCAGATGCTTAACAACTGAGCCACTCAGGCGCCCCAAGGATTGGTAACTTTTTTTTTTTTAAAGATTTTATTTATTTATTTGAGAGAGAGAGAATGAGAGATAGAGAGCACGAGAGGGAAGAGGGTCAGAGGGAGAAGCAGACTCCCCGCCGAGCAGGGAGCCCGATGCGGGACTCGATCCCGGGACTCCAGGATCATGACCTGAGCCGAAGGCAGTCGCTCAACCAACTGAGCCACCCAGGCGCCCGATTGGTAACTTTTTAAATTGAGATAATATCAGTTTCAGGTATACATGATTCAATATTTGTATACATTGTGAAATGGTAATAAAAATCTAGTTAATATTCATTACCACAGTTATAGCCTGTGAGCTTTTAAACAGAGTAGCAGAAAGTATTGCAATGGAAATCGCTTCATTTACTCAGGCAGCTCCACCTTACCCACAGAGAGCAGATGCCGATAGGTCTCCAGCATCACATCGCGGTACAGGGTCCTCTGAACAGGGTCCAGCCGCCCCCACTCCTCTTGGGTGAAGTCCACCGCCACATCCTTGAAGGTCACTGGTTCCTAAAAGAGCACAGATGTTCCTCCTCAGCCTGCTGCCACACCCTCCCATATTCTCTGGGGATAGAGTGAGGCTGACTGCACTGGGAAAGAGACAGGGTATAGAGGAACTGTCCTGGATACGTTCAGTTCTCTAACTGATCTGGGTCAGGTCCCACTGGGAGCAACCCAAGGGCCCTGTATTTGGGATGTACTCTTAGGGAATTGGGTATGTGGCCCCATAATAACCACAATGAAGATGAGCAGGTCTCTCCTAAGGCTCTTATCCAATTCTAGTAATACTGGCTAGTAAGAATGGGACTCCCACCAGGGCAATGCCCGCCTTCTTCTCTGGAAATGAAGATACTTAAGACTACAAGCACTGGGTTGGAGTCTGCTCAACATGTGGATCTAGCACCTGGATGGATGATCTAAATATCCACAGGCTGTCTTCCTGGCCACTATAGGGAGGTTTCCATTTCCAGATCTTTTCTGTCCCAAGGACTGGAGCTCAGAGTGAGACAGGTTTGAGGAGAGCAGCCCAGGCCAAAGAGAATCAGCTACAGTTGTTGTCAAAAAGCACTTGAGTTTTGGGGCGCCTGGGTGGTTCCGTGGGTTAAGCCTCTGCCTTCGGCTCTGGTCATGATCCCAGGGTCCTAGGATCCAGCCACACATCAAGCCCCACGTCAGGCTCCCCACTCAGCAGGGAGTCTGCTTCTCCCTCTTCCTCTGCCCCTCCCCCTGGTTGTGTTCTCTGTCAAATAAAAAAAACAAAACAAAACTTAAAAAAAAGCACTTAAAAAGAAGTTTTAAAATGTTCCAACTGAGCTTTTTAGGAAAAACAGAAGCAGGAATGCTCACTAGAAAACTAGAGAGGAAGATGAATTATAACATAAGTCTGACTTTGGCAACAAATGCATCCCTCACCGTGCTCTCTCTTTTCAAGATTTACTTATTTGAGAAAGAGAGAGCACGCACACGTGCAAGTGAGGGAGCACGAGGGGGGGAGGAGGGGGAAAGGGAGAAGCAGACTCCCCACTGAGTGGGGAGCCCGACACAGGACTTGATCCCAGGACCCCGGGATCATGACCTGAACTGAAGGCAGATGCTTACCGAGTGAGCCACCCAGGCGCCCCTCTCACAGTGCTCTTAAGCACTCAGTTATCTCAGCAAGTCCAGGGTGGAGTGGAGTATGCCCTCCCTTGTGGTGGCAGTGGGAGTGAGCTGTCACATGGGTAGTATGTTAGAATCCCCACAGGCCCTGACAGCTTCTAGGTTCTCCCCTCCATTGGGAAACTGGCTTTCTGGTTTACCTCTGTCTGTGTCCGTGAATTTCCACTCTAAGAGTCCTGTGAGCCTCTACCCATATGCCTTCACAGCCTGCTATGTCACTGCCTTTCCCATGGCCATCCTTTCTGCCCCTGCTAGTCAAGGCAAACTGAGCTTGTAATCTCTGATCAGGGTCAACTGTCATGACTGGGTCTTGTGTGCCAACTTTTACTCTGTCAGTCTCAATTGCTCCCCTTCCACCTTCACACATGCTTGGCTTAAAACACAGAACTGATTCTGCTGCAGTGATTCCATTACTCCAAAACGCACTTAAAACTGCTCAGCACAACCTCTCAGTGAAACTATGCCTAACCTTGGACTCATCAAGGCCAATACCTTGGTTTTCTTTTTTAGACCTGCCTAGGCCTCAGTTTCCTTAATGGGTGATGCTTCTATGTTTTACATAACATAAACTTTTTAATTTAAATGAACATTTGGACAGAGAAGTGCACAAAGCCTAAATGAGCTGAAATCATAAGCTCAGTGTCCTTTCACGGAGCCATCACACCAGGGGGAACAGGTGGGAGGCCATATTTTCTAACCAGGATTCTCCTGCTGTGCTCACTTCATACCACCTAATTTCCCCAGAAGGTGGTATCTACTTGATGGCTTACAAGCTCACCTATACTTAACAGGGTTCAAACCCACACCCTGGCAGCTATCAACCTGGTGAACTGAGCCACAAGTCAACCACCAGGCTAACCACCCCTCCCAAGACCATAATGGAATCCCCGTGCACAAATTTAAAAAGGTATAGAAGAACTACATCTAGTAGACACTGAAGGACTGAAAGTGATTCTGCAACCTTTAATCAAATAGTGGACATTGGCAATGATCATCAACTGCTGAATCACACATGAAAGGCAGACAGGGAACGAACATGTCTAAATAACATGAAGACTAATGGAGAGGCAGCTATTGTTAGCCTAATACATCACATCATCCGAAAATGGGATCACCAGACATCCTGTGCCCACTAATGCAACACAGTAGGAAGGACTCAGCACCACCACCAATGATGTAATCTTGCCCAAAATATGGGACCTGAATCTACTCAGCCCTCCAGTCCAATGATCAGTTTACAGGAGACAAAGGGAAGAGGAACTCACCCAATGACATCAAGAGAGCAAAATCAGGCAAATCAACAAGACAAGTGACCTAATTTCTTCAGTATATGAAGCACACATAACGTGTGGTCCTTTTTTGGATCCTCATTTGAACAAACCAACCATAAAAGGTATTTTGGGGACAAGTGGAAAAAGCTGAACATTGCCTGGGTATTAGCTAATAAGGAATTACTGTTAATTTTATTGGATGTGATAAAGGTAGTGATAAAGGTATTTCCTAAAAATTATGTACCTTTTAGAAATACACACTTAAGTGTTTATAAGCAAAATGACAGAACAGCTGAGATCTGCTTTAAGATATTCCAGTTTTCAAAAAGTGCCAGGATAGATGAAAAGAAAGGCAGAAAGCTGATAGCTGATGGTTGTTGTTACTGAACACGGGTGTTTGTAATAATGCCCCCCACTGAGACGTTCACATCCTAAACCCCAGAACCTATGACTGTTATCTTAATATGACAAAGGGACTTTGCACAGGTGTGATTACGTTAAGGATATTGATTTGGGAAGATTATCTTGTATCATCCAGGTGGGCTCAGTATAATCACAAAGGTCCCTTTAAGTGGAGGAGGAGGGTCTGAGTCAAAGCAGGAGATGGGACATTGGAAGCAGAGGTTGGAGTGATGCACGTTGAAGATGGAGGTGGGGACTGTGAGCCAAGAAATACAGGTAACCTCCAGAAGCTGGAAAAAGCAAAGAAACAGATTCTCCCCTGGAGCTTCCAAAGGGAACACAGCCCTACAGAGAGCCCCCCCCTTTCTTTTGTCTTTGAGAAATATTATCATTTATTGACTTCTGAGGGGGAGAAGACATAACAATATATGCCAAACAAGAGGCATCAATGGGAAGATAGAGCTGGCCGATTGCCAAGAGCCTACAGACCCATTTTAGACTCCTGAGCTCTAGAACAAGAGAGTAAATTTATATTGTTCTAAGCCGTTAGGTTTGCAGTGATTTGTTACAATGGTAATAGGAACTAACACAAGGTTCAGATTCCACCTTATGGTTTAAAAATCCCCCAAAGTTTTGTAAGAATGGGAAATACCCAGAAGAGGCCATTGGCAGGTGGTGTCCCACACACTGTTGCAAGATGGGGAACAGAGAAAGTGTGCCAGACCAAGGAAACAGCAGAGGAGATCCCAGCCCCACAGGTTAGAAGGGGCTACAGTGCAAGAAGTTCCCAGGGGAGACTCTGGGCCCTGATCTTAAATGATACAGTGAAGGCAGGAGTGAGAACCAGGCTGAAAACAGGTGAGTCTGTACTCAGGAGAGCCTTGCCGGTTGTCCCACCTCCCAACTGGCCACTCCACCTTGTGGGCAGCATGACCACCAACTGCCCTGCACTTACACTTGGGCAACACTGCCCAGACCCTTCTCACACACAAGAATGTGTGAGGTTCTAAGGCTGCTCAGGTGACCAGCAACCCTGGAGTTGAAACCTCTTCCACAGGACACGGGGTTGGGAGGTCTGTGGCCTGACAGTCAACTGCATACCCGGGAAACCGGAAGCACAACCAACTTGATGGTCCTGGCCCAACCAGGTCCACGGAGCTTAGAGTGAGACTTGTTGGGAGGCAGATACACAGACACATAAATACAAAGGGAGGCCAATCAGGAACCAGACTGGTTCAGCCACAGCAAAGCAGGATGCTCAAAGACAGCCTCACTGCTCTTTCCTGGCAAACACAGACCGGAGGAGCCCTGGACACACGAGGAACATGTGCAGCACAGGCGGCGACCACCAAAATCAGGGGCCAAAAGGAAAATAGAATATGGGCAGCAGATACATCCAACTTTCGGTGAACTGCAATTCCATTTCCCCGATTGGAGATTTCAGTATAAAACAAGACAGGGCCATACCAGATGGGCTCTGAAAGAATAAGAATTCCTTGAACACGAAGACACAGCACTTGCTTCAGGAGGCCCACCAACGTAACAGAAGGCCTCAGAAACATAACAAATATAAAGGAACAGGACAGATTTTTTTTTTTTTTTAATACAAGGGTTCTTAAAACAAGACACAAAAACACTAGCCCTAAATAAAGCCAGGTGTGTTTGACAAAAATATCCTGGAAAACATCTGACTGGTAAGACACCACAAAGTTAAGACAAGCTACAGACTGGGAAAAGACAATGCGTATAAGGCAAAGAATCAGGATCCAGAATGCCTACATCTCAACAGGTCAGACAGTACACAAATCTAATGAGAGAGAAACACCGATTAGTAATGATATGAAAACAGACTCAATCTCACTAGCAATCAAGGAAGTGCAAAGTAATACAATAAACCTTTTTGGTCTTGAGATAAGCAAAAATTAAAAGACCTGACACTGCCAAGTGGCAGCAAAGATGCAGGGAAACAGGCACTATTCCAGAGTGGTGACAAGAGGCTTTGTACCTTCAAAGGGCCACATGGCAGCACTGGTCATATTGAAAACACACATGCACCCTAAAACTAAGCATAATTCTGCTTCTAGGGGTATGTCTACATTAACATATATATGTGTGCACAAAGTGAAATTACAAGAATGTTCACACAGCTTTTCCTGGAATAGCAAAAATGGTGGGGGCAGGGAACTTCTAAGCCCATCCATGAAAAGGATGAACAGAGGGCAAAAGGAATGAACTTATCACATGGATGGACCTTAAAGTCGGCCTTGAATAAGCAAAGAAAGGCATAGAAAAGCTAGATAGGAAAAGCACTGCTTTAAAAAAAATAGAATAGGGGCACCTGGCTGACTCAAGTCAATAGATCATGAGACTCCTGATCTCAGGGTTGTGAGTTCGAGCCCCACTTTGGGTATAGAGATGACTTAAAAAAAAAAAAATCTTTAAAAATAGAATATTACTAAGTGATACGTATAGAAATAGATGATGTATGAGTGTGAAAATAAATTAGCCATGTACACACCATAAGCAGTCATTCTGCGTAAGCATGGGAAAAGAATGTGACTGGACACTGTGTAAAAGGAAAACTAAGCAAATATGACAAAACATTAACTGTTCATTTAGAGTAATGGAGCCCGTGTTTGATTACTTTTCATACTTTTCTGTAATTATGGGATTTGTCCAAACAAAACTTTAAACAAGTAAGTATTTCCAGGGGCATCCAGGTGGCTCAGTTGTTAAGCGTCTGCCTTTGGCTCAGGTCATGATCCCAGTCCTGGGATTGAGCCCCGCATCGGGCTCCCTGCTCAGGGGGAAGCCTGCTTCTCCCTCTCCCACTCCCCCTGGCTTGTGTTCTGTCAAATAAATAAATACTATCTTAAAAACAAAAAAGTATTTCCAGATTTCCAGTAGATGTTATCAAAGTGGAAGGAATCGTGGACTGCCAAACAGGAAGAAAAAAAACACCCCCCGCTGAATAGCTCTATGTTGGGGCCCAGAGTTCATTGGAGGCCTTGAAGATGCAGAAAATGCAAAACCAAGACTGGATGTTAAACAGAAAGAAGAGATGGGGGAAGTCAGGGACCAGTCTTACCAGCTGTGGGTACAAGAGGGACCCTAGAAGCTAGGACAGGAAGGAGTGAGCCGTTCCATTCCCAGGTAACCCTTACTTAAACTTGTACTTTACAAACATTTGCCAGGATGACTGGAAAATGTCTCACCCAAATTTCCTACAATCATTCTTAGACATTTCACCTTGTACATATGTATGAGCACTTACCAGGGCTCTCTACAGCACTTTATGGAATCTGCTAACCAGCCGCCTTGGGAAGATTTGAGGGAAGATGCAGAGGGTGCTGAGATGGGTTTCAGCTCCTGCATTATCTGAAATCATGGACAGTTGGCCCATTCATGGAATCTGGGGAAATTCAGATGTACTTCTTTGGCATCTTCACAATTTCATTAGTATTTTAGTGCAAGTTCTTTGCAGAGAAGGAAAACAACTAACTATGTGCACATCCTCAAGACAACAAGAGATGAGTGCGGAGTATAACTGTTGTTTATGTGCATGTTTATCATGCAGAAAGCATTGGTGGATTGTTATACCGGGGTTTGAGAGTTTCCACATTTGAGGATGCTGGCTGGAGTATTTTTTAGATGGGATATTATTATTTTCCCTATTCTTCAAAATAATTGGATCTGGGCTCCCACTAGTTGAAACTTCACTATCTAACATTAATGTTCCCCAAAATGGACTACTCAGATAACAAGGGATGACAGCACTTGAAGTTTTCACCAGGTGAATGCTTTATTTCAGTATTTAATTTGGAGGGAACAATAGAAGGACATACAGAGCTCTTGTTAGTGTTCCTGAAGACCTCGCTTAATATAAAACTCCCATGATTCAAGTCTTGAGTTTTCCACAGGGAAAAATCCGAAGTGAGTGTGGGGAGGGGGCGAGGACCATGTACTCAGAAATCACAACTCTTCAGACATTGGAGGGTGTTGTCATTTTAATTCTCCATTTTATTTTCTCAGCATTAACCCTAGTAATTCTCAGAAACCCTCACATAAATTAACAGCAGAGTGCAGGCCAGTGGTTATTAAGGTTTCTTCACAGCATTTTATTACAGCTAACTTCTGTTCCCAAGCGACTGATTCGGGGCCCATCTTTCAGCCTAGCCTCACTGCTGATTCTGTTACAGAATCTAAAAAGGACTATGTATCATAGCAGCAGCGAACACCACAGTCACCCAAGTTCTGATGCCAAACCACCACCACTCTGCGTCCCGTGGTTCGGGCCCGGCTGCCTTCCTAGGACAGCAGTGCTGCCATGTGGGAGCAGCGAGCTTGCGATGCACTTCGCCAGTCAGCTTTGAAACTGGGAGATTCCATTACATTTTTTTTTTAATTTGGGGGAGGCATAAAGTTGAAATTTTATTAATATTTATATATCTCAATATCTCATATTTGCTTTATCCATTATTTTAACTTAAAAAAGAAAAACCTAAATATAGTAATGAAACTATTTTTCTTCATCTTTCATAGTAGGGAGTCAAAAAGGTAAATGTAAATTTCATGAATCAGGATGAAAATCTCTCATTTAGAAATATGGAGATAACCCTAAGGAACCAAAAACAGTAAGTTAAAAATGGCTGCCTCTGAATCATAAGAAGAAATAAAATGTTGATATGCACTACAACATAAATGATCCTTAAAAACAGAAACCAGACACGAAAGGCCATATATTGTATGATTCCCTTTATGTGAAATGTCCAGAATAGACAAATAAATAAATTAGTAGTTGCCAGGGGTTGAGGGCGGTGGGAACAGGGAGTGACTACTAATGGGTTCACGATTTCTTTTTGGGGTGATGAAAATGATCTAGAAGTAGATATTGGATGGTAATGGTTGTCCAATTCTGTGAATATATGAAAAATCACAGAACTATACACTTTAAAAGGGTGAACCTATGGTATGTGAATAATATTTTAATACAGTTGTTATAAAAAATTTTTGTTTGTAAGTGGCTGCCTCTCATGAAGAGGCTGGGCAGGAGAAAAGGGAGATGACACCTTTCCAATACCACCTACCCCGCGCTACCCTATTTCCTGCCACCTTTCCCGCATCAACTCTGCTGCCCTATTTCTCTCAGGAGCCGCCCTTATGCCCTTACAGTCACAAAGTTCCCCTGCTTTGACTCCCTTACACCTCTCAGGTCTTCTCCTAGGCCCTGGTCACACTGACGCCTGAAACGCAAGCCTGCTTCCCACAGCCCCCTTCTCCCCACGCTCCTGCCAGGGACACCCTTCCAGCCACATCTTAGACACGGGCGCCTCCTGCTCCCAATACTTATGAGGCTCTTTATTACCACCAGGATGGAGCCCTGGCTCTGCAGCAGGCATTCGGGGCCTGGCAGCATTCGTCCTAGCCTCTCCATCCTAAATTCTAATTGGGGTCAGCCTTCACCCAGATGCTGGTCATGCGGTATCCCTGCCCCCGCACCCAACACACACCAGTGGCGCTATACAAGGCCAGGCCTCTGCTCACCAGGCTGCTGAATCCCTTTCACGTCTTGGTGCAAGTGTGTCATGTCTCCCGGCAGTCTCTCTCCCCACAGTGGAGGGATTCCGGCTGCTCTGCGCCCCGATGACTCTATGCAGACTGACCCACTTCCCAAGACATTAGTTGGGCTCGGCTCCTCCAAGGCTTGGGGCCTCCCTAAGCGTCTCAAGCTCATGTCCTGAACCACATATACACCACCAGCAGGCCATGAGGTCTCGGTAGCTGAGTGAACCATCTTGGAAAAGGGACTGAGAATTCCTCAGAACCAGGGCTTGAACTCGTCCATGTTCCCCTCTCAGCAAGCACAGAGCTCACAGGACAGCATCAAACTGAATCAGGCACTGAATACATGAGGTAAGGTGGGAGGAGGAAAGGGGGGCTGCCAGCTAAAAGGGTTGCCCCTGATCCCCCAAAATAACACACAGCACAGCTAGGGCTCAGGAATGTGAAGAGGCTGGTTGATAATGTGGCTCCAAGTCATAGAAAAATGTTTAAATTCTTCCTGAATGCTCAGAAAGCAATAAACTTCTGGCCAACTCCTTCTCTACCCAAACTCTAGCTGTTATACAGTGAGGAACACATAGACTAGGGTGGCGGGGGACCACCTGGACACCTTAGGGAACAGGACAGCCCTTCAGGAAAAAGTAGAAGCCCCCTCACCTGGATCTGGGCTGTTGGAAGCCCAGTGGCCCTCCTCTCCTCCTCGGGGTTCTCTTCCACATGCCAGGTGGAGTCCTGAGGACATAGAGCTGGGGAGGAAAACAAAGTCACAGAGGCAGCTCTCCCTGCCAGAACTATGCCCACATAAGTCCTTTATCCTGGGGAGAGGGCTCAGGGAGAGCCAGTTCCTGGCCCTCTCTGCTGGGCAAAGGAAAAGACTCATCTCCTCATTTTATAGATGAAGGAAATGGGGCTCAGAGAAGATAAGGGATGTGCCTAAACATGAACCCTGCACTGCCCCCCTTTGCTCTGAGGCACTGTCTAGGAGGAGCAGTGCCATTCACATCCTTTCTGGGCCTGAGCCACAAATGGCCACACATTTATTCTCATGCACCCTGTCCTGGAGGTGTCACCATCACTTTATCTCCCAGTGCCATGTTCTGATCCTTTCCTGTTCCAGCTCTGCACAGAGACAGATCTGGACCAGAGGCCCCCACTCTCCCAAGCCCTAAATCCCCCAGCTCTGATTCCTGGCCAAGGAAGGTCAGTTCTGGGAGAAGCCAGGACAAGCAGCCAACATGGCCAATGGGGACACAGGCTCTTAACTCACCCCAGGAGGCCCATGGGTCAACAGCCGCCATTCCCCAGGACTGGTCTGTAAGGACACCTGCACCAGATCAGGTAAGGACAAGTAAAGGAAAGGCACTGTGACAACAATCCTAGTGACTAAAGGCAACAAAATGGAAAAGGAGATCTGCCTCACTAACGGGTGTAACAAAGTTCCATAAACAGAACCCAAGGGCATGTGACAAAATCCAACATAATAAGCTAGATTTATACCAGAAATGCATAGGTAAGTCACTACTAGAAAATCTGATGTGATGTAGCCACAGAACAATTAAGAACAGAATCCCTTAAACAGCTAAGGAGATATCTAATAAAATGTTTAACATTACCTAATTTTTAAAGAAAATCTAAGTAGTAAGACACTCCCCCTCGATGTCCTCACTGACAGATATATGAAACCTAACTTAAAGATAGTATACCACTGACATCACACTATTTAACACTATTCTTAAATTATATGCCAATGCTATAAAAACGAAAAACAAAAATAAAGGTAAAATATAGCAGTGATAGAGAAATTCTGATTGGATGTATGACTGTCTAAGAAATCCCACAAATCACTAGAAAATCTCTTAGAACTAATAAGACATCTTAGGACTATAAAATATACAAAAATCACATGGTGTTTTACACCAACAAGTTTCCCTTTTCACCAACAACCAAGTTGTTTTTCTTTTTAATCTTTAAGATTTTATTTATTTATTTGACACAGCGAGAAAGGGAACCCAAGAAGGGGGAGCGGGAGAGGGAGAGGGAGAAGCAGGCTCTCCGCTGAGCACGGAGCCCGATTTGGAGCCTGACCTCAGGACCCTGGGATCATGACCTGAGCCGAAGGCAGACGCTTAACGACTGAGCCACCCAGGTGCCCGTTTTTTCTTTTTTAAATGTCACTCAGTTCTAATTCTATACCAAGACCAAGAGACCCCCTCCATCTCCCAAAACCCTCAGCTCCTGCCCAGGTTGACCCCTGGCTGCAGCAGGTTGCTGCTGAGGCGGCCCAGAAGAAACAGAATTTGGACTCACCCCACGAGGCCCACGGGTTGATGGCTGCCATCTCACAAGATCAAGTGACCAGGTGCCTGCCCAGGTGCACAGGATTCGGGTGATTCACGGAATGCAAATGCAGTACCAACCTAATGACAAATGGAAAACACAAAAGTGGTCCTTTCTCTGGAGAAGATCCAGAGGGAACAAAGACAGCCCATCCACAGAAGCAACAGAAGACTTCTGGGGAGCATTATAAGAAAACAGAATTTAGGGATGCTAGGATGGCTCAGTCAGTTAAGCATCTGCCTTCGGCTCAGGTCATGATCCCAGCGTCCTGGGACTGAGTCCCACGTGGGGCTCCTTGCTCAGTGGGGAGCCTGCTTCTCCTGCCTGCTGTTCCCCCCTGCTTATGTGCGCTCTCTCTCTCTGACAAATAAAATCTTAAAAAAAAAAAAAAATGAAAAAACAATTTACATGTCAAAAACAACAGAATGAAGAGTGAGTTGAATAAGCTGAAAAAAAGAGCACAATCCAGGATGAGAGGGTGGAAATTTGTCAATGGCTCCCAAGAGACAGCCAGTGACAACTTCCAGGTAACTTTTCGGTGACTTACAAAAATTACTGTAAAATCTACCTGCACCGCCCAAAAAATCAGTGGCTGCCTAGAGCTGGCGGGGAGGGAGGAATGCGGACTGACCGCTTAATGGGTGCAGGGGTTTCTTTTGGGAGGTGATGAAAATGTTCCGGAATTAGATAGTTTTTTATTTCACAACTCTCTAAATATACAGCAAAAACCACTGACTTGTAGTCTACAATGGTTAATTTTATGTTATGCAAATTTTACCTAGAAGGAAGGAGGGGAGACAAGCAAGAAATCAACCTGCAAAACCTACCAGGCCCAAGCCTGTCTGTTTCCTGGTGTGGCGCCCAGACCACCAACTGCCTAGGTTCCAAGTCTTTGTGCAAGTCCCGAGACCTCTCTGAGGGTTTCAAGGCCAACTGGCAGAGCCCTGCGGATTCCTGAGAGTGTGTTTAAAGCACCAGGACGCCTACTGGGCCCCGGGAACACCGGGACCTGTGCCAAAATTCAAAGTAGGCAAACTATTCTGCACCGTTGTTTGCAACTTAACGAAGTCCGCGGCCACCGCAAGCTTAAAGGAACCGAGGCCTGTTCCCCTCCCACGTTCGACGTCGTCCTTCAGCGCCTCCGGTGAACCCGCGGGGACGAGAAACGCCCGCTGGGGAAAGAAAGGTGTTCATTCCCCGTAAGGGCCTCAGAGGCGTCCTCATCACCTGCTGCCTGGCCTCCCGCCCGACCTCCTCTACTACCCCCGGGGCGCATGCGACGCTCAGGGGCCCGGGCCGGCGAGCGGCCCGCCTTACCTGGTCCGCGGCTCCCGGCCTCCCACCCCTGCGAGCCGGTCCCCGCCGCTCTCGGCAAGCGACTTAGCAAACTCGGGACCGCTCGGCCGGGGGCGTCCGGCTTTTGTTCCGCTCCAAGGTTCGGCCCGGCGGTGCACCTGGGATCCTCGCGCGCGGCGGGGGAGACAAAGGCGTGCCGGGCCAGCGGCCGCGACCCGGCGCCAGGCCGGACGTGCAGGGTTTCCCCCGGGCCCGCCCAGCCGGCCCAGCGCTGCCGCGAGCCCGGAGGCGGCAGGCGGGAGGGTGGCAGAACCAAGGGAAACGGGGGCGCGAAGCCAGGGCGGAAAGGGCGGGTGCGGGACCCGCCCTGGCGCCGCGCTGGCCCCGATGGCAGGCGACGCGTCCTGCCGCTCGCTCTCCCGACCCTCCCCGTCCGCGGCGTCGGCGGCAGCGACGGCCTCACCGCCTCGGCAACCGCCTCACCTCGGCGGCGGACAATGGCGGCCGCTCCCCCGGCGTCGACCAGGACGTGCCGCGCGGGCTCCTGGGAGTTGTAGTTCCGGGCGGTATGCTTCCGGTTGGTCCGGAAGCGTCGCCATGGCAGGTACAGGGAGCCGCTCCGCCTGGAGTCCCGCCTCCGCGGCGTCAGGGACTTACCTGGGCGACTAGTGTTCTAGCCCCCGGCGAACCGGACGGTGCTGTCCTGGGCCTGGACCACCCTCCCTGCCGCCGCTGCCGAACTCCGGAAGGCCTGGGTAGGTCGCGACCCCGTGAGCCTCAGTTTGCCCGTCTGTGAAATGGGGGCTCGCGGTGGCTGCCCTGAGCAACGCGACCTTGACGGAATCTGATAGTTCTCCGCGTCCCATACGCGGGTCTGAACGCTTCATTTAATCTTTACAATACTGTGAGGAAGTGGCTGTTCTGCCCCCCCTTCCCAGATGAGGAGGCGGGTTTGAGGCGTCTCCTCCTACATGAAGCCCTTGTGTTTAGAACATAGGGGATTGTTCCCGGATCTCTTCCTGGAGGGGGAAGCTTTATGGGAGCCCAGATCACCGCCGACCTGTGTTGTGCTGTTTCCTGGAGGGAGCGTTCGTCGCGAGGCGCTGAAGACTAGAGCGGGGCACGCGGGGAACGAAGTCTCTGCCTGGCGGCTCCTACTCAAGCCACTCGTCAAGGGCGTGGAGCGGGATGACCAAAGGGCGCGTCACCCAGCACGGGGGGATCCCCGGACCAGCCCCGAGCCTACAGCGCCAGCCGGAGC